ATTATTCCTACTGCTGGTTACACCAGAGAAGTCTTGTGTGTGTGTGATTATTGCAGCACTGTCAGCAGTGTGTAAGATCGACAGAATCTTTGTTCCCCTCCAAACAGCACTTTTTATGTGAACTTTGTAGACTCGTAGCCTGTTAAATAGTACATATTTACTGTCTAGGTTTCTGGCACCCAGCCTTGTACTCTTGGCAGCACTGGTCATGGAGTGCCAGTCCGTGTGCCGGAAAACTGGCTTCTGGTACCGACAGCCACTGACTTGTGGTCTCAAGCCAGGCACTTCCTTATCTTCCTCTCTGTTTGGCTTCTCACCTGTAAAGTGAGAATTGTACAACCAGTTTCTATCACATGTTCTGGTTGTTTGAATTCTTAAAATTGTGATTATAGATTTGATTGCATGTTCTAAGTTATGGCCTGGATACCAGTCGTGACCAGCAAAGTTTTCCGATTGATTGCATCAGTTTCTTTTTTTTATAGACGTGTAGCATCTGAATTAGACACAGTAGATGGATGAATGGGGAAGTTTTTATTTAGTTTGGAAATTCGGATATTTTTGACCTCAGTAGCTATAGCTTTGGGAAATTTCTGTTCCTAAAACACTTGTAGAAGAGGAGAGCAGAAATGCCGGGTCTGTGTCTGACCTCAAATAACTTAACTGTTCCTGACAAGTGCCTGCTTTGTAGGTTCTGGGGGTGGGGAAGGGGGTTGTCATTTGGTTGTCCAGAAAGTGATAGATCTGATTGCTATCCACTAGTGTCATTAGAACGCAGTATGTCTGCCGCTTTGTAACTGTCAGAATTAAGAACTTAAGTGCCTGGAGTGCATTATTGTCTACGTAATATATTCTGAGCAAGGATCACTTGTTTTCCCGTTCCTGGTAGAGCATTTGAGCATTACCTGAAACATTAACAGTGTTCCATGCAGCGTATGCGGTGAATGGGAAGCTAATATTGGGAGGTAGTTTGGAATGTGGGTGGTCCAGGTGGCTGAGGAGTAAAGCAGTGTGAAATGAGGATGCTGGAAGGATTGAAATTGAGGTGATACTGCTTAGGACCTTCAGCATCAGAGGGGTTTGATTTGTAGGCCCTAGTTTCCTTGAGCAGAGAAGTGTCTTGGCTGGAACGGAACTTCAGAGAGGTTATTTGAGCACATGTGGGATAGAAACGGAGATGCAGCCACTTAGGCAGTTGTCCTATTGTTTAGGTTAGAGCTGCCTCTGAATTCTGGAGTGAGTGAGTTAGGTGACAGCACTAAGAAACCAGAGAAGGGAGCAAATACAAGTTCTAACAGATTTAAGGATCGTATCTTAGACCAGCACCTGTTTCCGAATATAAGAACTAAATTGTATTCAGAATATAGAATCTCTTTAAAAAGGCATCACCAAGCGTTAAGTTTGCTCTGGCACTGTTTCTGGTGATAGAATTGCTTTAAACTGTCTTCTTCCGACAGAAAGAAATGCAGGAGTTGAGACTGAACAGCAGTAACTCGGGGTCCCCTCATCGCTGGCCTGCAGAGAACTATGGGCCAGACTCAGTGCCTGATGGACATCAGGGGCCACAAAATTTTCACGGGGCCCCTCTGACGGGTGAGTTGGCAGCTGACTAATCCCAGGTGTTGGTAAAGTCACTGTGCTTCGTCCTCCCTTACGTAGAGAACTTGTCTCTGTATGTTTATATGCGTATCTGTATATGTCTGCCTTTGTGTTACTTAAGCTGTGTTTGGTATTGCCGAGGCTTTTTATAAGCAGAAGCAAAACAAGCTTTATCTGATCCTGTTTATATCAAGGCTTAAAGAAACCCTTAAATGCACATCTCAAAGGAGCTGAGACTGAGGTGGAACTATGCCTTATAATTGAAGAATGTTAACTAATAGTGTACTTTAAAAGATGCCTAGCTAAGAACTTAAACTTCTGGGAATTATTTTGATGATACACTGAGAGGTATGACATTCATAGGAAGTTTTATTTTGAAATACCACAGTCGCATATAGAAGGAAGGAGTTTGGAGCTAGATCATACAGGACTTGTAAGTTGTGCTCTGCCACTTACTGATCTCTCTGAGCCAGTTTGTCTTTTTGAAGGACAGAGATAATACTTGGCATCATGTGGTTGCTGTGAGCATGTGTGTGTGGAGGGGTGTATTAGGCGTTTACTTAGAGTCTGCAGTAATCACGTAGTGGACCAGAGGGTGCAGAGGGTTCTTCCTTTGGGTTGTCTGCGTGCAGAGGTGCTCTGTGTATGTAATCTAGTTTAATTACAGTAACACAGAGTGTTAACCATTATTAACCATTATTAACCCGTTTTTTAGATGAGGGACTGGGTCAGGAAGGGTTAGGTGACTTAGCTGTTACTGTACAGCCAGCACCAATAGAGCTGGGTTCACACTCCAGTGCTCTAACATTAAAGCCACTTGCCCCCATTAGCCAGAAGTGATGGTAAAAATGGGTTTCTCTTACATGAGACAGATTGCTGACATGGTGGTAGTGCATATTTTTTTCCAATTGGTTTTAATTCAAAAAAGACTGAGCGTGGTAGGGCCTAGTGCAGCACATTGGTGTGATGGTCTGGAGGGCCATGCTTAGGGAAGACCTGCTGTCTCCTAATAGTGTCCTCCCAGTGCGCATGAGATAACAGAACATGTTTGTAAAGGCCAGCTCACTGCATGAGCTGAGTCATAGTATAAATGTGTGAGAAGTCAAGAGTTTTAAGCATCACTTACTTTGAACCCTGTGTGCTGCATAGAGCCTGGTGTGGAGAAGTTAAGCTGGGCGGCCGGCCTCTTCCAGGGCTCCCTGTGGGCTGTGCGTTCATCACTTGGCACCTCGTGGGTCACAGTCCCATCTTACCCTCCTGTGTGCCGGCGTCACAGGTCTTCTGCTTGTTTAAACACACAGAAACATATCATTCACGGTGTCTCATTTCATTCTTGCAATACCCCTGTGGAACGTGTAGAGCAGCACATCCTCATTTTGCAACTGAGGAGACAGAGAGCCCAGGCGGCTACTTGACAAGGTCTCGGGCAGCTTGGGGGGCCTGGGAGGAGCGCTCAGATCTCCCAGTTCCTGCTCCTGTGTTCACAGACGTTTTTTCTTAATGAAAGTACAGGTGTGCCAAGGTGGTCCTTGTCTTTTTAAAATAAGGTGATTAAAAAACAATTAGTAAACTTACAGTAAGGAGACACTCAGAAGTACTGAACAGTGTAAAGAAAACTGAAAACTAAACGCATCACGGAGAGCCCTGCCAGTGTTTTGGAGCATTTCCTTCTGGTCTTTTCTCTTTGTGTGTGTAGAGGTTTTTTTAATGAGACTTTTACCGTGTTATCATGCTGTGTGGAGATGAGTCAGTCTTTTTTAAGTATTTCTCTTAAGTTCTGAGCATTTTTCCACTGAACGTTTTTTGACAGCACCGTTGCTAAATACAAGGTGTCCCATCGTGTAGCAAATTTTATTCCTTCATTTGTTTATTTCCAGTTGCTGCTATTATAAATGGTGCTGTGGGCACAGTCCTGAGATCGTAGGGTATTGTAGAAGTCCTTCCCTGTTGGGAAACTACTTTCCTGAAAAACCATGCAGCTTTTACACTCGCACCCCTAGTGTCTGCTGGTGCCCGTCTCCTTGCAGTCTTGTCGAGGGGTAACTGCTATCAGTGTATAAAACCTTTGTCGGTTTTTAAAAACAAAAATAGTATCAGCTTTTAAGTTTGTTGGGTTTTTTTTCTTTTTTCTTTTCTTTTTTTTTTTTTTTTTACTACTAGGCATGCTCAACGTTTTAAAACCCTTTATATTTCCTGAGTTATTGTTCATTTGGTGCATTTTTCTATTAGATTTTTTTAGTAGGTTATAAAACATCCAAGTTTATTTTTTTTCATGGTCACTGATGGAGGCACTAGTTACATTTCAGACTCTGTGATTCTTAGCTCGAATCCATCAGCTTGTCTACGTTCTATGCCTGTTTTCTCCCCAGAATATTTCACGGTGACCATCTTCAGGCAGTCCTGTTAGTTTTCCATGTTCAAACTTGTGCTTGTCCAGTGGCTCAGCCTCTCAGGGAACTGTCCCGAGAGGACAGACAAACTAGCTCGCCTTTTCTCAGGCTTTCAGGGCTTTCTAGAGTCAGCTGGTCAGCACCTCCTGGGTCACAGTTAACTTCCGGTTCTTCTTCTATGTAAAAGTATAAATGGTCTTTAAGTTGTTTTGTTTTCTGATAAAACTTTCATTAAGCAGATCAAGCAAATAAATGATTGTTGGTTGTTTTTACCATTGACAGGAGTGTCTTTTAGTTGTTGGTTTCCTGGTGACACACAGGCACAAAACAGATTGAGCAAGTAGTTTGGCCACGAGCATGAGTGTCAGTCATGCTGTGCCCTTTTTATTCAGCCAGGGAACACGTTTTGTGTTGTGAGATCCTTCGCGTGAATTTGTCGGTGACTTTTGACCTGAACGTTCTCAGCTTAAGTTTATAAAGTGCAGTCTTGTCATCCTGCAGATCGTCAAAACTCACTTCAGACACATGGCCCTGAGGCCATCAGATGCGCTCTGGCTCCTGCAGTCCTTGCTGTGGCTCACGCACCGCGTCTCTGACGCCGCACAGCTGCTTCCGCGTCGTGCCGTCTTCCCTTGGCAGCTGCCCTGCGCTCTCTCGGCCCCTCGGGTGCTCGCTCTTGCTGCCCGCCTGCTGCTCCTCTCTCCCTCCTCGTGTGCCACACTTAGCAGTCATTCCCCGTTTGTCGTTGGATAATCTTCCTTGTGGTGAATTTTGATGTATAGAAAATTTTTAAAAACCTGTGTAGTTAAATCTCTCTTTGGTTTCTACTGGTTTTGTATTTATAGTTCTTGCCTAGGTAGTCCTAACTGCAGCATAGACTTTTTTAACAGTGTTTTCTTTCTTTTTTTTCTTTTCTTTTCTTTTCTTTTTTTTTTTAGTTGCAACTACTGGCCCTTCAGTATATTATAGTCAGTCACCAGCATATAATTCCCAGTATCTTCTCAGACCAGCAGCTAATGTTACTCCCACAAAGGTAACAAAGGAATAATTTATACATTTATAAATATCTCCTTTTTAATTGTCCAGGCTTCCGACAAAAAAATTCAAGAAGTAGTTCACCATTAATACTTAAATGTCCCACAAGATACAGATATTTTAAATTTCTTTCCTGATGTAGAAATTCTGCTTCAACTATATTAGTTGTCTAAATTTTATGTCACAGTAAGCGTGAACATTTAGAATATTTTAAGTGGGGGTGGGGGTGGGGTCTTCTTCATTCCGTTGTGACAGAAGCAGGCCTGGGTGTCCTCACTGGGCACTGTGCGCAGCCCTCACAGGCCTGGCTTGCTGCACTAAATGTCTACTGAGGCACAGGGCTTGGGTGCACCTGGACCCTGGCTCTTCTGCTCACCGTGACTTCAGGCAAGCTTCTTAACCTCTCTATGCATTAGTTGCCTCATATATAAAATGAGGATAATACTTTAATTCATAGGGTTTTGAGGACATTAAAACGAGATGTTAAAGTGCTTAGAACTGTGCCGCGCGGCACACTAACAAGTGTTAGTCCTCATCTTCATCATCATCGTTAACATCATTTTTACACCTTGTTCAGGAGGGAGGGGGTGTTACTGTATTGGGTATGTTGGAGGAGAATTAGATTTTTAAGGTGCTGTCATTACTTAAGGCAGTTTTCGTTACATGCCAAGATGGACTAGAGCTGTAAGTATCTCTGTAGTCATGTCTTCTCGAGGCTGTGCTGCACACCCTGAGGATGCATTTACCTCGTAGTGCTCACGTTTAAGGGTGATGAGGATTGGTTTGTATCTGGTTAACTTGTAGTCTTGCAGACAGCCTAGACAACCTACAAACATTTTAACTTTATTTTTCTTCTAGGGACCAGTTTATGGCATGAATAGGCTGCCGCCACAGCAGCACATCTACACCTACGCTCAGCAGATGCACACCCCCCCAGTGCAGAGCTCATCTGCCTGTATGTTCTCCCAGGACATGTATGGTCCCCCGCTGCGTTTTGAGTCTCCTGCAACAGGAATTCTCTCACCCAGGAGTGACGATTACTTTAATTACAACGTTCAGCAGACAAACACAAATCCACCTCTGCCGGAACCAGGGTATTTCACAAAACCTCCAGTTGCAGCTCATGCTTCAAGATCTGCAGAATCTAAGGTTATAGAATTTGGGAAACCCAGTTTTGTTCAGCCTGTACCAGGCGAAGGAATAAGGCCGTCTCTGGCAGCACCTGCACATCCAGCACAGTCCACTTCTTTTAAATTTAACTCAAATTTCAAATCAAATGATGGTGACTTCACATTTTCCTCACCGCAGGTTGTGGCACAGCCCCCTTCTACGACTTACAATAATAGTGAAAGCCTTTTAGGTCTCCTGACTTCAGATAAGCCTTTGCAAGGAGACAGCTACAGTGGACCAAAAGCCGCTCAGACCATTGGACCTCGAAATACATTCAATTTCGGAAGCAAAAATGTGCCTGAAATTTCATTTACTGAAAACATGGGCCCAAATCAGCAAAAGAATTCTGGTTTTCGGCGCAGTGAGGAAACGTTTACTTTCCACAGTCCAGGGAAGTCAGTGTTTGGAGCACCTGCCGCAGAGCCGGCCAACAGGAGTCCCGAAGCAGACGGTGGGAGTGCCCATGGAGAGGACGATGAGGATGGTCCCCACTTTGAGCCGGTGGTGCCTCTCCCCGATAAGATTGAAGTGAAGACTGGCGAGGAGGACGAGGAAGAGTATTTCTGCAATCGTGCAAAGTTGTTCCGTTTTGATGGAGGATCCAGAGAGTGGAAGGAGCGTGGAGTTGGCAATGTAAAGATCCTGAGACACAAAATGTCTGGGAAGATCCGCCTTCTGATGAGGCGCGAGCAAGTGCTGAAGATCTGTGCAAATCACTACATCAGCCCAGACATGGCCCTGGCGCCCATGGCGGGCTCAGACCGGTCCTTTGTGTGGTGTGCTCTGGACTACGCAGACGAGTCGCCCAAACCAGAGCAGCTCGCTATCAGGTTCAAGACGCCTGAGGAAGCAGCACTTTTTAAGTGCAAGTTTGAAGAGGCCCAGAGCCTGTTGAAAGCCTCTGGAGCAAACAGAGCCACAACCACAAGTCAGGCTGCGAGAACTGTAAAAGAACCCACAAGTCACGATAGTACAGATATTTGCAAACCTGATGCTGGAAACATGAATTTTGAATTTCAAGTTGCAAAGAAAGAAGGGTCTTGGTGGCATTGTAACAGCTGCTCGTTAAGAAATGCTGCAACTGCTAAGAAGTGTGTATCGTGCCAAAACCTCAACCCAAGCAGTAAAGACCTCCTTGGCCCACCATTAGTTGAAACTGTTTCCACTCCTAAAACTAGTTCAGAAAGTGCTCCAGAAAGATTTGCATTGATGACGCCAAAGAAAGAAGGTCACTGGGATTGTAGTGTCTGTTTAGTTAGAAATGAACCCACTGTGTCTAGATGCAATGCATGCCAGAATACAAAGTCTGCTAGCAAAAGTGAATCTCCATTTGTTCAGCAACCTTCCTTTAAATTTGGCCAAGGAGATCTTCCTAAGTCTGCCAGCAGTGATTTCAGATCTGTTTTTTCAATAAAAGAAGGGCAGTGGGATTGCAGCATTTGCTTGGTGCCAAATGAAGGAAGCTCTACCAGATGTGTGGCTTGTCAGAATCCCAGAAAACAGAGTGTACCTGCTTCTGCTGCCCCAGCTCCTGCCTCTTTTAAGTTTGGTTCTTCAGAGACAAGCAAGGCTCCAGAGAGTGGATTTGAAGGAGTTTTCACCAAGAAGGAGGGACAGTTGGGTTGCAGTTTGTGCTTAGTGCAGAATGAGGCAGGCGCGGCCCAGTGTGTGGCCTGTCAGAATGCACGGAGACAGAATCCACCCACTCCCGCTGCCCCTGCCCCTGCCGAGGTGAGCAAGGCTCCAAAGAGTGGGCTTGAAGGGCTGTTCCCCAAGAAGGAAGGGCAGTGGGATTGCAGCATTTGCTTGGTGCCAAATGAAGGAAGCTCTACCAGATGTGTGGCTTGTCAGAATCCCAGAAAACAGAGTGTACCTGCTTCTGCTGCCCCAACTCCTGCCTCTTTTAAGTTTGGTTCTTCAGAGACAAGCAAGGCTCCAGAGAGTGGACTTGAAGAAGAGGCATTCCCCAAGAAGGAAGGACAGTGGGATTGTGGTGGTTGCTCTATGCGAAATGAGAGTTCTTCCTTAAAATGCTTGTCTTGTGATGCCTCTAAACCAGCCCATAAACCTGTTGCAGAAGAACCTTCAGCTTTCACATTGGGCTCAACAGCTAAGGTAAACGACTCTTCTGGAAGTCAGGTGGGAACAGGATTTAAAAATAACTTTTCAGAAAAAGCCTTTAAATATGGCAACGCAGAACAAGGATTTAAATTTGGGCATGTGGATCAAGAAAATGTACCTTCGTTTACATTTCAGGGTTCTTCCAGCACAGAGTCTAGGTCAACAAAAGAAGGATTTAGTTTTTCTGTCCCCGTGCCTGCTGATGGGTTTAAATTCGGCATTCAGGAGACGGGAAATCAGGAGGAGAACAAGAGTGAAAAGCCCATTGAAAGCGACTCTGGTCGTCAGGCTCAGGAAGCAGGCGGCCAGAAGGACGGGGCTGCCGTGGGCTTTGGCCAGGCTGGCAGCACTTTGACCTTTGCAGACCTTGCGAAGTCAACTTCAGGAGAAGGCTTTCAGTTTGGCAAAAAAGACCCTAATTTCAAGGGATTTTCGGGTGCTGGAGAGAAATTATTCTCATCACAAAGTGGTAAGATGGCTGATCAGGCAGACACCTGTGCTGACCTTGAGAAAGACGATGATAAGACGGAGGACAGTGATGACATCCACTTTGAACCTGTTGTCCAGATGCCTGAGAAGGTGGAGCTCGTCACGGGGGAGGAGGATGAGAAAGTTCTTTACTCACAGCGTGTGAAATTATTCAGGTTTGATGCCGAGATAAGTCAGTGGAAAGAAAGGGGTTTGGGGAACTTAAAAATTCTCAAAAATGAAGTCAACGGCAAACTGAGAATGCTGATGCGGAGAGAGCAGGTGCTGAAAGTGTGTGCCAACCACTGGATCACCACCACCATGCACCTGAAGCCCCTCTCCGGGTCGGACAGGGCCTGGATGTGGCTGGCTAGTGACTTTTCTGATGGCAATGCCAAACTGGAGCAGCTGGCAGCAAAATTCAAGACCCCCGAGCTGGCTGAGGAGTTCAAGCAGAAGTTTGAGGAATGCCAGCGACTTCTGTTAGACATACCACTGCAGACGCCCCATAAACTCGTGGACACTGGCCGAGCCGCCAAGTTAATACAGAGGGCTGAAGAGATGAAGAGTGGGCTGAAAGACTTCAAAACGTTTCTGACCAGTGATCAGATGAAAGTCACTGACCAAGAGAGTAAGAGCCCAGGGGCAGGCGCTGCAAGCGCTGAGGAGGCCAGCAGCCTGCCGAATCCGGAGCACAGCGGGCCTGCCCTGGAGTGGGACAGCTACGACCTGCGGGAGGACGCCCTGGACGGCGGCGGCTCGGTGCACGCCTCGCCCCTGGCCAGCAGCCCCGTGAGGAAAAATCTCTTCCGCTTTGGTGAGTCAACCACAGGGTTCAACTTTAGTTTTAAATCTGCTTTGAGTCCATCTAAGTCTCCTGCCAAGTTGAATCAGAGTGGGGCCTCCGTGGGCACCGATGAAGACTCGGACGTCACCCAGGAGGAGGAGAGGGACGGGCAGCACTTCGAGCCCGTGGTCCCTCTGCCGGATCTCGTCGAGGTGTCCAGCGGTGAGGAGAACGAGCAGGTGGTGTTCAGTCACAGGGCAAAGCTCTACAGGTACGACAGAGACGCGGGGCAGTGGAAGGAGAGGGGCATCGGCGACATAAAGATCCTGCAAAACTACGACAGCAGGCAGGGCCGCGTGGTGATGCGGAGGGATCAAGTGTTGAAACTCTGCGCCAACCACAGAATAACTCCAGACATGACTTTGCAGAGCATGAAGGGGACAGAGCGAGTGTGGGTGTGGACTGCGTGTGACTTTGCAGACGGAGAAAGAAAGGTGGAACACTTAGCCGTCCGCTTTAAATTACAGGATGTTGCAGATTCGTTTAAGAAAATATTTGATGAAGCAAAAATAGCCCAAGAAAAAGATCTTTTGATAACACCTCATGTTTCTCGTTCTGCCACTCCCAGAGAGTCACCGTGTGGCAAAATTGCCGTGGCTGTGTTGGAAGAAACCACGAGGGAGCGGACGGATTTGGTTCAGGGTGATGTCGTGGCTGATACGACCTCAGAAGTTGGAGTGTCTAGCACGTCTGAAACAACAAAAGCAGTGGTTTCACCTCCAAAATTTGTGTTTGGTTCTGAGTCTGTTAAGAGCATTTTCAGTAGTGAAAAATCAAAGCCATTTGCATTTGGCAATAGTTCAGCTACTGGGTCCTTGTTTGGGTTTAGTTTTAACGCACCTTTGAAAAACAGCAGTAGTGAAACCAGTTCAGCCCAGAGTGGATCTGAAAGAAGCGTGGGGCCGGGTGGTGGCGAGTTGTCGCAGAGCTCTGACCCTGGACCAGCTCCTGACGGCAGTGCCAGAAACCTCACTCCTGTGTTACCGAAGGAAGAGTCCACAAGCGGTCACACGTTCAAAACACCAGAAAGGGGTAAGCACTCACTCGTCTTTAGATTCAGCAGAATCTTCCTCCCTCCCTCCCTTTTCGTAGGAGGCTGGGATGTTTTAGTAAAGGTCGGGTTGTTAACACAGTGCTTTGTGAACAGCCAAAACAAAATTGTGCAAATTTTTTCCTCCTTCAGCCAGTTTACCTGTGAGTATTCGCACAGGAGCAGGCAGTGGGCGAGCTGCTCAGGAGGTTTCAGTGACCCGGAGGTGCGCCCAGCCCTAACCCTAACCCAGCAGGGCCTTGAGCACTCGAATCCTGAGGTGCACTCCAGGCTGGTGGCTCGAAAGGGCTCGTCCTTCAGTGTATTATCCTTGTGTTCTTATCACACACAAAACCGGATGCTGAGATGTTCACGTTTTATGTAAGGCAGTCTTGCCAGCACTTACAAAGTGAACAAAGAATGAAACCCCCAGATAAATGGGACGCATGAGACAGTCATGTTGGTGTGAATGTGGGACTCTGGCTTGTATACTTTAAGTTATGTTTACTTTGATTCTCAAAACGTTCAAAAGTGAAATCCTCTTTATTTTGTAGGATTTAATTTTAGCCTTTTTAAATCTAACCCAATGGCCTTTTGGACCAGCGCCCCTCCCTCACAGCCTGAGGACAAAGGTACAGAGCTGGCACTGCAGTGAGACGAGGACTCAGGCTGTTTGGTGGCAGCTGGTCCTCAGCGGAGTGGCTGGCGGGGTGACATGAAGTCCGTAACCCTGCAGCCTGCATGGCAGTGCCTGCCTAACCCCGTGACGCTGTTTCTCATGGGCTGGGGTGTCGTGTTTCCCACGTGGTGCGCAGTGTTGCTTGGAGGCAGATCCACGTGGTCTTTACCTTTCTCTGTCTTGTATGTCATACGTGTTGTTTCTAACTGTGATTAACGAAGGTTGTGTTTTATCTAACCTTTATCAACTGCCACTGGTGTCTGCCAGCACCCAGACGTTTGTTGGCAGCAGCGTGTATCCCACAGGGAACATGTTTCTTTAAGGCTGTCCTTTTGGACGTGGTTTAGGAAGGTACTGTGTTTGAAAGCAGCCCCATGATTAACAGCCACCACTGTGCCCTGGCACGTTAGCGTGTGTAGCACAGACCGTCTGCAGAGGTCAGTGTCAGTGCAAGAGGGAGCACTAGGCGGTGGGGTCTGCTGGAGACATTCGAGAGCAAGGCTGGGGAAATGGAAACTCACCCTTAGTGTCTGATGACATGACACAGCTGCGTTGCAGGTTGCCAAGCAAGGACAGTGATAAAATGACAACCTTTGATTCTAGGACATTCAGTTTTAAAGTTTACCAGTTGTGCAACTGGCCACAGCAGCTCTTAGCCTAAGGACACAGTCTTTGAAAAATTATGTGAAAAGTGTGGGCTTTTTTCTATTAAAGGGCATATACTTGTGCACAGACTCCGTGGGCCCCAGGTTTGAGAGCAGATTTACCAACATGCTGCTGCAGGACAAAAAGCCCTGTCCTCTTTCAAGTTCGAGGAGGTCATAGTTCCAGAGGACCCTAGAGAGGAGGACTGTGGGCACAGGGAAACAAGGCCCCGCCAGGTGCCTGATATACAGTGTTGTGCTGTCCTGGCTAGGAGCTGGCGTGAAGTGTTCGTAATGAAGGAGCAATGGGCAAGTTCAGCGTTGCAGGACTGTTCTCTCGGTCAGCATCATCCAGTGGAAATACGACCTGTGTATGGAATCAAAACGTTTCTAGTCATGTCAAAAAATAAAAAGAAACAGGTGGAAAAAGAGAAACAGATGAAATTAATTTTAATGATCTATTCAATTGAACCCATTATGTTCAGAATATTATTTCAACTTCTACTCAGGATGAAACCTTAACAATGAGGTTTTGTTTTTTTTTTGATGCCAAGTCTTCACAGTCCCATGTGTATCGTTACAATGCAGCACATCCCAGTTGGACTGGCCGCACTTCAGGTGTGGCTGGGCTGCCATCTGGACCGCACCCTTTGGCTCGTAACATGCTTCTTGATTTGCTGACCTTATCAGTTCCTTTAGCCAGAAGTCAACAGACCAGAGCATATCGTATGAAGAGCTCTTTTTCTCTCCATTTTTTGCCTTTTTGTTGTTTTTGTTATTGTTGGTTTTAACTAATAGGAGTTACCTTAGTTTCTTACAGGATTATTTACCCAAAAGGTAACAGTTTTAATTTAATTGCTTCTATTACTGTGTTTAGAAATATGGAAAACTGGATGTAATTCTTGTTTTTTATTTTTATTTTGTGTGGTTTGGCAGGGATAATTTGACTTACTTATTTATTTGTTGATTGACTGATTGGAAGGACTGGGGATTGAACCCAGGACCTCGTGCACATTAGTCACATACTCTACCCCTGAGCCACTCCCTCCCCCCTGTAGATGGAATTCTTACCACCTGCCTTGGCAGTTGTAACCTTTTCTTGTTAGGGTCTCATCAGTGTTGGGCTTTGCATTTGTTTTATATTTATACTAATCTTTGCTTATGATTTAATTTTTCTCAATTATAAATGGAGGGGTATTTTGATTAACCATTTAATTTGCCAAATATGGTTATGGAAGCACTTTTTAAGTACCTTTTTAATTTATAGCCATCAGTACTGTATTTTTCAATGATCAGTAAGTAAAAGTGGAGCGTTTTTTGATTTTTCAGTAGATTCTGTGTTCCCTAAGGGTTTTTGATAGGACATTAAATCAGACTTCTAATTCATGGTTATTATGAGCTGTGTCCACATCACAGTGTGTGTTTTTATCAGCATGCTGTTTCAACCTAGAGATGAATTCCATGACTTATTTTCAGTTAGAATATTGACATTAATACTTAACACTTTGTCTTGATCAATTTCTTTGACTTGTCTTTTAGCGGAAGAGAAGAAAAAGCCAGAAGACCCTCCCTTGGATGATGATGTCCTCGTGGTGTATGAGCTGACCCCGACCCCTGAGCAGAGGGCTCTTGCGAGCAAACTGCAGCTTCCTCCCACTTTCTTCTGCTATAAGAACAGGCCAGACTACGTCAGTGAAGAGGAGGAGGATGGTAAGTCTTTTGTGCTTTAAAGCATCCTGTTCATACTCCTCTTTGTGAGATTGTCTTAAGCCCGCCTCTTAGAGGCCCCCCTGCTGTCGCCACAGATGAATATTTGTCCCAGGTGCATGTGAGCAGTCAGTGGGTGTCACCACTGAAATGGCTGCATTCTTCATTAGCGTTCCCTGGGTGCCCGCCATGAGCAGGGCAGGCCTTTGAGGGGACTGACAGCAGTCCTACTTTCCCTGAGGTCTTAGGGGCAGGAGTGCCAAGAGGCAGAGATGGGGTCTGACTGCGGGAAGCTCTGGGCCGCAGCAGGTTCCAGGCAGGGGGGTCACGTCCTCAGAGCAGGTGCGGGGAACAGTGAGGCAGAGGTGTAGAGGGTTGTGAAGATGGAGGTGAGGAGAGGGGCTGAAATAATAGGGCAGCTCAGACAAGAACAGGAGCACTGCGGGGTGAAATTGGCAAGATTGGTTGCTATTTGTATGTGGGGAGGAGGGGAAAGGATGAAGTTGAAGATGATTCCTAGATTCCTGGCTAGAAAATCTCCTGAAACTTATGAGAAATTCTTTTATTTTATAAAACCAATTATACTTCAAGATGAAGATTTTGACACAGCTGTCAAGAAACTTAATGGAAAACTGTATCTGGATGACTCAGAAAAATGTAGACCACTAGAAGAAAACCTGCCAGGTATGTGACGTTAAAATGACTAAGTCTGATTTTTTTTAAAACTATTTAAAAGGAATCTCCCAGTGTGGTCACTGTGTAATGACCGGCGTTGGCATGGTGATTTAAAGTATGTAAAACTAGCATTCTGCTCCCAGGGGTGCTTGTGCTCCGTCGGTGCCTGAGGTCTTGTTATTCTGTCTGCAGTCTGCAGGTAACACTGAGGCCCATTGTTGGGGAGGAGTTGGACTTCATCTACTTTTATCTTAACCTTACTTTGCATTGTATGGGGTTTTCAGGTAATGAGAAAGAATGTGTTATTGTTTGGGAAAAGAAACCAACAGTTGAAGAGAAGGCAAAAGCAGACACCTTAAAACTTCCACCCACATTTTTCTGTGGAGCCTGCAGTGACACTGATGAGGACAATGGAAACGGGGAAGACTTCCAGTCGGAGCTTCAGAAAGTTCAGGAAGCTCAGGTAGGAGCTCAGTTGTCTTTGTTGGTGCCGTGAACCCGCAGGACAGCAGTGATGGGGAGCAGCTAGCGGTGGGTTGAGCCCCCCATTCAGCTCTGGCCAGAGAAGGGGTTGTGTTCTCCACAGAGGGCCCGAAAGGCCCACGCTGTCACCCCCATGCATGCTGGGTATGGGGAGAGGGTGGTGGCATGGACGGTGCAGATGTCCCTTAGAGGATCTGCCCCTGCACCAAGAACAGGATGGAGGTCGTTTTTCATGCAGGTTAGTTTATTGTGGAGTGGGCAGGGAGGACAAGAAATAGTGTTTGCAATGTAGTTCCCTTGGCCTGTCTGTGTACCTTGTTTTGTCAACAGTTTCATGATTTGATTACTTTCTTAGCTCAACTGTAGTAACTTTGATAGCTGTCAACACTTTGTTGTCTTAATTTGTGTTCTACAGACACTAGAAGGCAAGGTCCCTGACTAGTAACTGTTGACAGCCCCAGACTGACGTGGATTCGGTGTCTCCTTGCCCCAGAGGCTTGAGGGGGCTGCGTGTAGCGCACGTGTAGCTGATGTAACGACCTGGTGGCCTTGTCTGTGGAAGACCTAGCTGAGGTTCTCCGCCGGAGGCCGTGCTGCCCTGAACCTGCAGTGTGTCTCAGACCGCTTGGCCGCGCCCCGGACCCAGTGGGCACACGGGTTGCAGCTCGCCCTCACCATCGGCTCCTCTCGCAGTGCAGTCACAGTAACTCAGAGCAGGGCTCTGCAGGCTGAAACAGTGCAGTTTAAACACAGCCTCAGTCTTAGGTGCAGAACTTAAAAATAGTTAAGCTTATTTATTTAAAATTTACCTAACTTAAAACTTAAAACTGAAAAGTAATTTCCACACTGATGTGCAGGCTGAATTGCACATCGTTTATTCCTTTTCCTCCTGTGGCACATAAGGGCTTGGTACCTTTTGTCATTGTTTTGGGAACCATGCTGTTAATAGCTGTTGAGATACTTTATTTGAGTGACTGGTGTATCATCATTCTTATAATTTAAAATCTTTTTGTGAAATATCTTGTAGCACTATCATAATGTTCATTAAATTGCAGTCATAGGGGCTGTCCAGAAATACCTTTGGTACAGAAATTAAATATGATAAATTGCTATAAAGGTTGAAAAAAATTGCCACAATAAATTGTAATTTTGGAGGAGAGCAGCCTTTGATACACAAGATAAAACAGAATTAAGACCACTAAAATTAAAATATGAATATGCTTCATAACGGATGTAGGTTTTCATCCTCTTAGAATGCATCCTTCCTACTTTACTCTCAGTCTGGTTCTTGGACCATGCAGGGTCTTCAGATAATGCATTCCCTGCGTAGCGTGCCCAAGTGCTTCTACAGGTGCTGGCTGCGTGCCAGCACGGAGCTGAGGACTGGGGACCCAGTGTGGACAAGCAGGAGCTGTTTGATTTGTCTCCAGGAGTCTTTCATTCGTGGACTCTCGTGTGGAGTATGTGTTAGTTGCTGAATTAAGACACTCCCGTCCCCCAAGTAATCTCACCTGCACTTTTTGGATAACATTTATTGTGATACGATTCATGCACCATGCAGTTCACCCATTTTAAAATGTAGAACTCAGTGATTTTTTAGTAGATTCGCTTGTGGTTTTTAGTATATTCACCACAGTCAATTTTAGAACATTGTTGTCATCCGCAAAAAGAAGCCCTGTAACCTCCAGCAGTCACCCCCTTCCCCATTTACACCGCCTCCTCTCGCCCTGCATAGCCGCTGATGGCCTTCTTCTGTCTGCAGATCTGACATCCCATACAGACAGATCATATGTCGCCCTTTGTGTCTGGCTTCTTTCACTTAGTAAGGTTTTGAGGTATAGCCACATTGTAGCATATATCTGTATTTCATTCCCTTTTATGGCCAAGTAATACTCCATAGTGTGAATGTACCACATTCTGTTTATCCTTCATCTGTTGATGGCCGTTGGGGTTGCTTCCACCTTCTTGGCTGTTAGGAATACTGCTGCTGTGGGAGCCCATGTCACTCGACACAAACGGGGCAGGTGACCTTTTCCCTGTGCTTCAGAACATTAGGAAGTAATGACTTGTTTCATTTGTACTGATTTTTTTTAAATTACATATGTAAAATTCACTTGTTGTGTTATGTTTTCTGTAAATTCTTACACAGGCCTGAGTGCTTGTCACCTCCACCACAGGCAGCATTAGACACTGTCTTTTCTTAGTCAACATAATGCCTTTGAGATTCATCCCGGTCACTGTGTGTTGGTGGCCAACCCTTCTGTCACTGGCTGGTACTCTGCTGTGAGGATGTACCACAGTTCATTCATTATCCTTTGCCCTTTGCAGAACATTGTTTCCAGTTTAGCTTGTTCTTTTTCTAGTTTCTTAAAGTGAAAGGTTAAATTACTGACTGAAGCGAATTCTCCATTTCTAATACAATTTTTTTATGTCGTTTCTCCCTAAGAGCTATTTAGGGAACAGGGAAAAACCCACACGGTTGTCACCACCAGATTGTCCCTCAGGTCCTGAGATTCTTAATCCTCCTGCTTTCATCCACTGTTCAGAGGCTTCTTAGAGTTGCTTTAAATCCAGTTCAGCTGTGGGTGTTGGGAGGGCAAGAGTGAGGGTGGGGTGAGAGAGAAAAGTGTGCTTACTCCACGTTGTCCAAACCCCCGCGTCCTCAGTTCCTCTAAAAATAAGGTGTATGATCCTCTTTGTCAGTCAGTATCTGGTGGCATTCTTGTTTGTTACTTTCTCTTTGCAGAAATCCCAGAGTGAGGAAGCAACTAGCAGGGCTGAGAGTGTGTGTGCAGGTGGGAGTGAAGTGACCGTCCCACACGTGTGTGAATCTCAAGAACCTGATTTTACCACCAGATCCGCTAGTTCGCCACCTATTTCTTCTGGGACTGTTGACAAACCTGTGGATTTATCTACTAGAAAGGAAGATGATGCAGAGTCTGCAGGCCAAGGTGAAATGTGGTAGATGTTTACAAAAACTTTCTAGGCGGGTGTTACTACATAAAGGACCTGTGATTTTGAGAAGATAGACTTTTACATGTAGATCAGAAACTCCCTTTCTTAAATTTTGGATGTATAAAGGGACGTGAAGTATTTGTAATAATAATCAGAAAATTAGCTACCTTGCCAACAAAGACAACACACATGTATTTTTGTCGTTTGGGTTGCAGTGATTAGGGAGCACCAACCACTGTGACTCTCACAAGTCTGCCTAAGAGTAAACGACAAGGTTGCTTACATGGAAGTTTCCTTTGTCTGTGTATTTGCATTTGACTGTTGTCGGAATTACATCACCACCCAAGTATATCAAAATTGTGTAAAGTATATGAAGTAGTTATAGAAATCTTAAGTAGAGGTGTCAAGTTTTTAATGATACTACTTAATTGTCCTTTTCTCTACCCACTTCACTAAATTAAGTATTTATTTACAGTAATTAATACCTGATGTTCCCCCCCCTTTCATTTCACTTGATTTTTGGAGGGGAGAGTCTTTATAATTGTAGTGCTTTTTATGTCTACGTTGTCTATATTACCTTTTTTTTTTCAGTAATAGTCCTGAATAAATCACAAATACTATGTTTATAGGCACTTTAGAGTCTTAACATTCTAGAAGAGGAAGGTGACTTCAGACTTAAAACCTCACACGTTTTCAGATGAGGGAAGCAGAGTGCAAGACTGAGGTCCTGCAGCTGCACGGGCACAGGATCAGGACAAGCCCCCAGACGCCTGCTGATGAGATAAAAAGACATTAAGCTCTTACTATTCACAGTAGAGAGCACAAGCAGTCTTCATGCAGATGCTTTAGATTATGTAAGACTATAAAGCAGAAACTGTTTAGCTCTGTGTCTGACTTAGTATAGACCTACATCTCACTTTTTAAAAATAACTTTTGGCATGCTTTTGGTGTACTGCTCATCGAGAGTAGTGCCTTGCACTTAATACTGAAGAAGCTCAGAGCTTGGATGTATTTAGTAACTTCAGAGGAATAACCGGGTTATAAATGTTCCACACACAACCCCCCTCGGTAGTGTATAAGGTCCTACCGCCATTCTCTTTGGGTCCTTGGTAAAGCTTTGATGTTCAACATACATTGGATGAAATATTAAATTGCTCTTTTCCTTTTTGCCAGTGGAAAGCAAAACACTTTCATTTGGATTTGGAAGTAGTACAGGGCTGTCGTTTGCAGACTTGGCTTCCAGTAATTCTGGGGATTTTGCTTTTGGTTCCAAAGGTAAGATCAAGAGGAGAGAGTTTAACCATGTGTTACAGAACGGGCTGCACCTGGAGGAGCTAGTCCTTTGTCCCCGTGTTGTTACTCCCGTGGACGTTTCTTCCTCCAGCTGTGCCAGGTCAGGGAAGGGCTTCCCTTGTCGTACTATTTTTGATGTTTATTAATAAAAGAATTTTCTCTTAATTCATGTTAAGTCACGGTGATAGTCCTCCCCATCCTGAAATGCAGAACCATGTCTCCAGTTTTGGAATAACCTTGATTTTGGTACATTGTCCTCTTAATTATACTTTGACTTATATTTCAAGACTTGTGCATTTTTAAGGAAATGATTCTGCAGTTTTCTGTTTTTCCAGTACCCTTGATTATATCTTTAATGGTTGTGCTAACTTATGTTTGTTGAGCTTTCCCATCTTTTCCAGTGGCTTTTCTATTTTTGGTCCATTTTAGTATCATTTATAGACGAGAATCTTTTCCCTTGATTGTTTCAAGTTGATTGGCTTATTATATTTTCTCATTCTTAAAATGTCTTTCATATTATCTGATTATAGCATCACCTAAATTGAACAAGATGCTTGGTTTATAGAGTAAGCTCTAGTTTGTGTTTTTTATTTTCAGATTTTGTCATAACTTTCTTTTAAATTATTAGTTTTCTTGTGTGTTGAATGCTTGCTTTACTTTAGCTTGTAGTAACAGGCACAAAAAAGCATTTTGAAACTGTAAATCCCCTGGAATCATTTTCATGGGGAATTTGACACTTTTGTAAATTTTTTAATAATTTAGAATTTCAGTCTTGCCTTCTTTGATAAGAGCTTGTAGGATTTAGTTTTTTTTTTTTTTTAAGATCATCAATTTCACCAGAGTTGTTTTGTTTTGTTTTGTTTTGTTTTTACTCCTGGCATTGTGTGGGCCTGTTTGATCTTACACTTAACTGTTTTGGTTGGTTTTAAGCTCAGAGGAGTCTCCCGCACCCATTACGGATTATTTCTGTGGTGATTTCTTTTTCTTCATCTGTTAATTTTTGTCATTGTTCATTTCCTTAGTTTTATTTTTGTTTTATTTTGTTCCTTTTTCCCTATTTTCTCCTGAAAGTCTTATTCACACGTAGGTCTATCAGTCATTCCTTGTCTGTTGTGTGGTATTTCATGCGGAATCTAAGGGAACATAAGGAACACCTGTTATCACTGCTGTTTTGTTGTATTTCCCTCATAGTTTGCAGTGTTTTTATTAAACCTGGACACACGGTGGAAGCGTCCTAGGTCCTGTTACCTAGAACTGTTAATGTGAAGTTGATGTTACTGACATGCATGTCTTTATACTTTTACTGTACAAATTCTCCCTCCTGTTCCATTTAGAGCAGTGGTTTTCAACTCTTGGATTCATATTAGAATTTCCTGGGAGCCTTTTTAGGAAAAAAAGACACCTGATAGTTGGATTGGGCTCTCTAGGCCTGGTGCCAGGCATTCATATTTTACAGAAGCTTTTGGTGTGATTCTAGTATGCACTGGTGTTAAGAACCATTGCTGCAGAGGAGTTTTAAGATTTTCTGCTGTACCCTCTCCCCCCACCAGGGTATTTGAGTTAATTAAACTCTTTTCCTGCTTGGGTGTTCCTGAGCCAGCCACCTCTGAGCCCGCACCTGCGTTCGCTGTTCCCCAGGAGCCCCCATGCAGCCCGAGATTGTGCTCATCTTGTTCCAGGGCGCCCTTTTGCAAGGTCCTCTTAAGAATTTTTGTCTTTTTTCCCCTTCTTTTCTGTCCTTATTTTTTTCTCCCCGTTAAATCTGACTAAGAAGGATACTGTTTTAGTCACTCATTTTGTTCTTTCTCCAAGATGCTGAGTTGCTTTTTAACTGATTTGTGACATTTTGCTTTCTCCCAGGTTTGTAGCACCAGGTGTAGGGTTCTCTGAGGCAGTGATTCCTTAGCAGGTGATGAAGAGAGGTTTCTTTCCTTTAAGACCATTGGGGATGGGGTCCTTTCACCCTGACAGCCTCGTGTTGCTTGGGGACAGTGGGGTCGGCACGCTTCTTCCAAGCCTGCCAGGAAGTCTGAGCCCCAGCACTGTTTCCCTGAGGAGGAAGGTGAGGGAGAGAAGTTGTAAACATGTGCTTAGTCTGCTTTGGCTAGTTTGAAAGCAGCAGATTTGGCCTCTGTAAGGACATTTTTAGGTTCCAAAGTTAGTTTTTTCATGTGACAGACTGTTTTATGAAATAAACTACCTTTGGAGCTGAGTTAGGTTTTCAGAGTTCCAGGGGGGTGACTTTTATTAGGAACCTGCCTCACTGCTGAAAGTTCTTGTGTAGTTTAGTGTCACGAAGCCTGTGTGTCCAGGCATGGACATTGCCAGCTGTTCGGTGTTCCCCCACGTGAGTGTAACTTGCAGAAAAATATGATTTGAAGCATTTTCACTAGAAGTATGTCACATCACTGGAAATTGGGTTCTTTGATGAACTAATGGAACAGGGGGCTTAAAAGCTTATAAAAGTAGACACCGCTGTTTAAATATCCCAATTCATTTATCAGATAAAAACTTCCAGTGGGCGAATACTGGGGCAGCCGTGTTCGGAGCGCAGGCAGCCAGTAAGGCCGGCGAGGACGAGGACGGCAGTGACGAAGAGGTGGTTCCTAATGAAGACGTCCACTTTGAGCCCATAGTGTCGCTGCCCGAGGTAAATGGGGAAGACGAGGCACCTGAAGGGACTCCACGTTGTGGGTTCACAGCCTGACATGGGCTTACTGTGTTTGCATTTCCTTCAGGATGCTGACCTTTTCAAATGGAAGCTCTTTATTAGAAGTTCAGCCTTTAAGTTTAAATTGTCTATTTTGTTAAAGTTTATATATAAATGTTACTTGGTAAATTCTATATGAAATTGTTGGGAAGAACTTAATTTTTTTTCTTTTTCCTTTGTCTTTTTTTAAAATCTTTTTCCATTATAGTTTATTATAAGATACTGAATATAGCTCCCTGCACTATACAATAGGCCCTTCTTTATCTTTTTTAACATTTTTTATTGATTTATAATCATTTTACAATGTATCAAATTCCAGGGTAGAGCACAATTTTTCGGTTATACATGAACATATATATATTCATTGTCACATTTTTTTCTCCGTGAGCTACCATAAGATCTTGTATATATTTCCCTGTGCTATACAGTATAATCTTGTTTATCTATTCTACAATTTTGAAATCCCAGTCTATCCCTTCCCACCCTCTGCCCTGTTTATCTTTTTTATATATAGTAATGTGTATCTGTTAATCCCAGATTTAATTTATCCCTCCCCCCTTTCCCCTTTGGTAACCATGTTTGTTTTCTATGAGTCTGTTTCTGTTTTATAAGTAAGTTCATTTGTATCATTTTCTTAGGTTCCACATATAAGCGATACCATATATTTCTCTTTATGACTTACTTCACTTAGTATGACAATCTCTAGGTCCATCCATGTTGCTGCAAATGGCATTATTTCATTCTTTTTTATGGCTAAGGTAGTGTTCCACTCTGTGTGTGTGTGTGTGTGTATGCCACATAGGGAAAAAGTTAATTTTTTCAATGTTTGTTTTCGTAACATAATTCTAGGGACAAAAAAAAATCTCATACTTGCCACAGTCCTTTCAATAAAAAGTAAATTCTTTTTCTGGACAAGAATGTTGTTTTAGGCAAATTACTTTTATCAGGTTCATCCTCAGTCAGTAGGGAATAATATTTCTCTTGAAGAACAAACACATTTTTGAAACCTCTCCTCCCCTGTAAAAGGACTTTCCAAAATGAGGAATAAAACTGCATAAGAGGAAAATATTTAATGGCAAATCAGGACTTTCCTTCCTGATCCAAATTAGCTGTATTTGTAGCCCTAGGATGTTAGCTGTTTTCAAATTCTGTTCATGTCAGTATTTTAAGGAATTTGGATCTCTGGGATTTGTTATGGGATATTTTATAAGCAGCAGCTCATAGATAATTTTGCCTCCTATCACAGGTAGAAGTAAAATCTGGAGAAGAAGATGAAGAAATTTTATTTAAAGAGAGAGCCAAACTTTACAGGTGGGATCGAGAGGTCAGTCAGTGGAAGGAGCGTGGCGTTGGAGACATAAAGATCCTGTGGCACACGATGAAGAACTACTACCGCGTCCTCATGAGGAGAGACCAGGTCTTCAAAGTGTGCGCAAACCACGTCATCACCAAAACCATGGAACTGAAACCCTTGAATGTTTCTAACAATGCTTTAGTGTGGACTGCCTCAGATTATGCTGGTGAGCTCTATTCTCAAATGCTACTTTCTGTTTTTTGAATTTTTCTAAAATCTATAGCAAACAGGTAAAACCATTTGTAACTTTTTTTTTAAAACACTAAGTTTACTGTTTTGTTTGTTGCTGTTTAATAGATGGAGAAGCCAAAGTGGAACAGCTTGCAGTGAGATTTAAAACTAAAGAAATGGCCGATTGTTTTAAGAAAAAATTTGAAGAATGTCAACAGAATTTACTGAAACTCCAGAAAGGACAGGTGTCATTGGCAGCAGAATTGTCAAAAGAGACAAACCCTGTAGTGTTTTTCGACGTTTGTGCAGAAGATGAACCTCTAGGACGTATAACCATAGAATTGTTTGCAAACATTGTTCCTCAAACTGCTGAGAACTTCAGAGCACTGTGCACTGGAGAGAAGGGCTTTGGTTTCAAGAACTCCATTTTTCACAGAGTAATTCCAGGTTTTATTTGCCAGGTAAGTCTGAACTGTAACTCACAGTTGAGTCTAGAGAGTCCAGCACACCAGCTGGGAAATTTGAGTGTTTCTCCTTTCCTGTAATTTTCTTGGACGACTTCTTACCTTTTCCACATATCAGTGGTTGTCACCACCCCAACTTCTATCCTCACAAGTACTTTCAGCCTAAAGTCATTTATATTTCTAATATCTTGAACCTGCTAGAAATTGAGGGTGGGAAAAAGAGCTTTTCATTTTTGTCTTCTTTCACAAATGGATATTTTCTTAGTTTTTAAACTACATTCTCAAAGAAGCTGAGTGTTTAGAACCTATCCTTTAGTGGTTAATTCTGTGTCTGTTGTAACATTTTATTTGGGATTCCTGTTAATTGAAATCTTTTTTCAGGGGGGAGATATCACCAAACACGATGGAACTGGAGGACGGTCCATTTATGGAGATAAATTTGAAGATGAAAATTTTAAGGTGAAACATACTGGTCCTGGCTTACTATCCATGGCCAATCGAGGCCGGGATACCAATAATTCTCAGTTTTTCATAACACTGAAAAAAGCAGAAAATTTGGACTTTAAGCATGTAGTATTTGGGTTTGTTAAGGATGGCATGGATACTGTGAAAAAGATTGAATCGTTTGGTTCTCCTAAAGGATCTGTTAGTCAAAGAATTATCATCACAGAATGTGGACAGATATAAATTTGTTTTTCATAGTGAATTTTACCTGTATAAACTGTTGAATTGAAGCTTAGCTGTTATGACAATATGGTAATTATGTTCAGCTTTTGAAAATGGACGTTTCCAATGTATAAATGTAAAATTGCAGCTTATAGCTGTGGTCACTTTTTAATGTGCTATAATTGACCTTGCATGGTGTGAAATAAAAGTTTAAACACTGGTGTATTTCAGGTGTACTTGTGTTTATGTACTCCTGACATCTGTATTAAAATGGAGTAATACTAATCTTGTTAAAAGCAATAGACCTTCTCAAACTATTGAAGGAATATGACATATGCAATTTAATTTTAATTTCTTTTAAGATACTGGACTTCCTGCATGGATATACTTACTGTTTGAATAAAGGGACCATGACTTGGATAAGTTTTATTTTAGACTTGGAATATATTTGGTAATTTTAACTATTGGTGTGCTCATTTTTGCAGAGAGTCACTTGTGAATGTAGAGCCACAGAGGGTAGAAACGTAACCAAAGTGCTCTTCTTTAACTTCCTGCACCTCCTGTGTAGTTAAATTAACTTTTCAGCAGAGTACCTTCTTTCCTTAAAATGATATTTAGCTTCCTGTTCCCTTTCAAAGGTATTTAATTAATTTTTACATTTTAAACAAGTTATTTACTTAAAGATTTTTTAAGTCTTTCTGTCATCTGTTTCTACTACCTCAAACTGCAGCTTGGTTCTGACAGAAGTTGAATTTTTCCTTGCAGTTATTGTGATAAAGTATGAGTATTTTTAAAAGGTCTATACCATGTTTTTTGGTTTAAGATTTGCTTTATACTAGATTGTTGCAGTACCTTTTTCTGGTGAATTTTGTAGCAAAAATAAAGTGACAATTGTTAACAGCCATTACATTTTAAAAAATTAATTACTTGTGCATCTAGTTATTTGTTCATCTTAGACCCAAAGTGCGGAGGATAATTTAGGTCGGTAAACTCCCACTGCTGCATAATTCCCAGAGCTCCCAAAGAGGTGCCTGTTTTCGAGTTGGGTGTACACGAAAAACTCGGAAATGGCATGTGTCAAAAGTTCGACCGAAACGGGGGACGGTGTCACCGGCCTGCTCAGTGCAGAACTGCAGAGAATCTAGTTAGAGTGCGTTTTCGGGTTCTAGTCGCTGCCAGTGGTGCCCTCTGCCCTCCTGTGTTCTTCCCGTGACGTCACCCTTGTGTTTGGTGACACATCGGGCTTGATGGCACTGCTGGGGATTTGGAAAATAGCTGCAAAGTGGCTCCTGTAATGAGCACCTGCTCAGCGCGGGGCAGAGGAGGCAGAGAGGAGGGTGTCATGGGGCTCGCGCAGGAGCGGCCGGTGGTCCTGAGCCTTAAAGAGGACGGTGGGCCAAACTTGTGTGTGTGGTGTGTGTGTGTACGTACGCATATGTGTATGTGTACCCATGTGTATCTGTGTGCACATGTATATATACGCATAGCTGTATGTGTTGTGTGTGCATGTGTATGTGTACGCGCACGTCTGCTGAGAAAAGCCGGCTTTTTCGGAAACCTGTGAAATACAAGCCTCTCGGCTGGGACCCCGGGCCCCCTGTCTCGGGTTCAGAGCAGATCCCAAGTAAAGACAGCTGCACCCGAGAGGCTTCCTGCGCCGAGTGCACGATTTCCGCGGTGCAGAACGATGACTGGAGAGGCTCGGAAACGGCTGCTTTGACCGAAACCGACTCTCCAGTACTAGTGATCGCAAGGGCTTCCAAGGACGGCGCCTCAGCCCGACCCGGCGGGACGCGGAGCAGTCGCGGAGCGCCTGGCACGCAGAAAGGAGAGGAAAGAAGAAAGGAAGCAAGAGCACCGCGCCTTCCAGCTTCGCGCCGCCAGGGACCAGGAGCACAGACAGCCCACGGCGCCGGGGGCGGGGCGTGAGTGCGTGTGTGCGTCGTGACGC